GAAGGGGCGTTCTTGCACAGGGAGGAGCCCTGCGCCGCTCCACGACCCAGGGCTGTCACTTGCAGAGCTCAGGAGTACCAGTGGCCCTGTAACAGTCAGAGTGACCCTGCAGAGTGGTATGGGGAAGGGGTGGGGGGCCCAGAACCACCCCAGGGCCGAGGTCCTGCTGGTGGGCATGAGAATCGCCGGACCTTTAGAACATCCTACTTCGGTAGGCATGCCATGGAGCCCAGGCACCTGCATTTTTAATAAGCTCCCCAGTTGCTCTGATGCCTGCCAGAAGTTGAGAGCCACTGGATCAGAAGCACTTAAGAGCACTCGTCCCCACACCTCCCAGGAGTAGGAGGGTCCCAGGGGCCAGCCCAGGGCCACAAGTGCCTGTGGTGACTCCCACATTCACTCGCCCCGGGTGACCCATTGCCTCAAAGTCCCTTTCCTGGCATCCTTTCTGACTTCGCTTCCTCCTCCCCTCCTCCCCTCTGCTGGCCACACGCAGGTCTGGGCACACTACGTGGAGCAGCCTGTGGACGAGGTGCCACCCGTGCCGGAGGAGAAGGAGCGCTCAGCCACCTATAAGCCGGTGGAGCGCTCAGCCACCTATAAGCCGGTGTTTGTGACCGAGATCACTGATGACCTGCACTTCTACGTGCAGGATGTGGAGACAGGTGAGTGCTCAGGCCCAGCCCAGGCAGCGCTGCCTCCAGGGCCCTCCCCTACTGCCCCGCCACCGGGCCCCAGCACTGCTCATTGCATGACCTGCAAGTGCGCCCTGGCGTGGGCGGGCTGAGCAGGTCCTCTGAGGACTGGTGAGGTAACCAGTTTTGTCTGGGTGGTGCTCTGAGACTCTTAGGTAATTGTTTTGCTCCAGGCACCCCTGGCTGAGCTGGGCAGGAGGATTTGTAGCCCTCAGAGCCTATCAGGAAGCAGTGAACAGATTGTCTCTATGTGGTCAGGAAGCAAGAACTGGCATCTCCCAGCCCGCTCCCCGTCAGCTTCCTGGGAAGGCAGGTGGAGGAGGGGAGTGTGGGCTTGTCTCTGCTGGGGTTTCTCTAGAGGTTACCACAGCCCTGAATGTTAGCCATTTGCCATGGAAACAGGAGGCACACCAGGGGAAGTCCTCCCCAGGCGGTCTTTCTAAAGGACTCTCCATCCTCCTCCTTCCTGCCTTCCAGTGCTGTGCCCTGTGGCCAGGGTCCCCGAGGCAGAGACCTCAACCCAGCCTCCCACCTCCCCTCCCTGTAACCTGACCTCCCTCTCATTGCCACCCAGGGCAGAGGAAGGGGCTCTCAGAGCCGCCTCTAGGGCCCAGGAGCCTGATCCTTGCAAGGCCGAGGACCGAAGATGTCACTGGCACTCAGGGCGGCCCCTGGGTGACAGGATGCAGCTCTGCTCAGCCCCCTCGGCCCACCCAGGCCCACTCCAGATCACCAACAGCTTCGTCTCAGCCACTTCCTCGCTAATGATATTTCCCAGGCAGCTGCTTTTGTGCTGATGTCATTTTGCCAAGGAAAACTGACAGTTTCGAGTCCTGTACCTGAGCTATACTTGGGAGAGGCAAGGATGGAGCTGATGAGCCTTCAGGATCAAGTTCTCTTTTCTGGTTGCTCATTCTCACCAGAGGATATTTTTTCCCTTTGGTTTTTAGAGAGAGAGAGAAACATCTATGTGACAGCAACACACCGATGATTGGTTGCCTCCCAACCGGGCAGGGGTTGAACCTCCAATCCGGGTATGTGCCCTTGACCGGAAATCGAACTCGAAACCCTTTGGTTCATGGGCCGTCACTCTAACCATTGAGCCATACTGGCCGGGCTAGATCAGGTGCTCTGAGGTCAGCTGCCATCCTGGTGGAAGCTGGACCAGCCATTGCCTTGGGAACGAAGCCACGAGAGACCCAGCCTCCGGGTCTGCGTGTGCCGGAAGGAGTCTTACAGGGGTGGTGTTCCTGAGCGCAGGCGCCAGCTAGACCCCGCCCAGCGTACACAGCTCCCAGACGGGCTCCACCCACCTCCGGTCCTGCTGGGGAGGACTCCCCTTGAATAAGAACAGGATGCTAAAGTCTCCCAGGGACAGAGCTTGAGGGTTCAAGGCCTTTGACCCGTCGGTCTCTAATCTCAGAGGCTTCGTGTACCAGCCGGTACCCCGCCCGCCCACTGTCCCTCTCAGCCCTAGGGAGCCCTGACGCTGCAGCGAGCAGTAGCCAAGGCAGAAAATAAAGACAGAGAATGAAGGAGGAAACCGTGTCTTCTTAGAACATTGGAGAAGGGAGTGAGCGCTTCATGGCACATTATCTGGAGAGTCGCGGTGGGCTCCAGAGAAAACCCTGTCCCCCAGTGGCTCCATGAAATCCAGGAAAATAAACCTCAGCACACACAGCCCCCCTCTTCTGCAACTTTTCACCCCCTCTTGGGGACGTCCTCTCTCCCTTCTCCTAATTAGACCCTGCCTTGGGGAAGCAGCGGATGAAATGATGAAAGCGTTTCCATTAGCTGTAAATGACCAACCAGGTGTCTGTGTCAGCACCTCCCAGAGGGCTTTGCCTGTTTGAGGAGGCAAAGCCTGCTTTCTGTTGCCTTGGAGCAAAAAAATAAAAATAAACCAAGTATAGGAGGAACTTGTCTTCTATAGAGGCTTCTCCTCAGTCCCTGAAATTTTACTGTCTGGGCAAGGAACATCATCTCAGGAGAATGGTAGTGTTACCACTGGGTCGGGGAAGGGCACCGCATCCTAAAGCCCCTGTTCTGAAGCAGTCGGGCAGTGGCCTGTGCAGAGGCCCGGGAGTGGACAGACCTCCCATGTGCATGTGCAAGGTCACCCTCAATGCAGCGGAGTTAGCAAGCGCCCTGCACGTCAGGGCTCTCCTGGGCCCTGCAAGAGTGACAACCAGGGGAGCTGTGGTCTGTGCCCTGAAGGAGCTCGCCGTATGGCAGGAACATACACTCAGACGAGGAACTTGCAAGGCCAACCGACAAGGGTACCAGCAGCCGACACGTGTTAGGCATCTGTTATAGTGAGTGGCGCCTTGGGTCCTGAAGGTGAAAAGAGGAATCCACAGGCACCCAGCACCTTGACCTCGGAGAGCAAAGCAGGCACAACAGGTCTGATGCAGACCTAGGGTCAGGGCCAGGAGGGATGTGAGGGAGAAGCCACTGGGGACTGATGCCGGCTTAGCAAGTGGGAGGCAGCAGGAAGGACCCGGAAGGGAACTTGAGAAGAACCTGGGTGTTGCTAAACCTAGAAAACAAAAAGACAGGCAAGCAACAGAGCCCCAGGGTCAGAGTGTTCAGGAAAGACAAGCAGGGAAGGAGAGCTTCCCCCACCCCCGTCCGGTTGAGGAGGGCACTGAACTGGGATGGGAGGGAAGAATCCTAACCTGACAGCACTGGGAGTCCAGTTCAGCCTGTGTCTCGCAGAGTGACTGGTCAGAGTGGACAAGTGAGACACTGAGGCTGCACCGTGTCTCAGAATTGCTCTCCATCTTTTATGCTCAGACTCCCAGGCCTTTCCTTGCCCGGGGTTGCATGGGGCTTATCCTTTACCTCCACTTTAGCTTATAGGAGACATTGCAGAGAGCGGCTGCGGTCAGTCACCCCCTCTGTGGCCCAAGCCAGGGCCAACTCTTGTAGGAATGGGCAGCAGGCTGGCCAGCTCCCACCCTAGAGAAGGCTGGTTGGCCTTGGCCTTGATCCACGTCCACTCACATTCTCCACCTCCTTCCCCGAAGCCCAGGAGTGTTCCCACAGGCTCCACAGTCAGCAAGTCACCATCCTGCCTTTGAGGACAGACAGCATGACACCTCTTGAGCAGAGAGCAGAGAGGACCTCCCTGGGGGGTGGGGGCGAGTCAGTGCTGCAGGCGCTCCACAGAATTCCTCACCCACCCACGCCCAGGCTCATCTGCCTCCCCAGCCAGAATGAGCCTCCAAAGAACCTGGCACCCTGGTCTCACTCTTTTCCTCCCCATCAGGCACCCAGCTGGAGAAGCTAATGGAGAACATGCGAAATGACATCGCCAGCCACCCTCCTGTCGAGGGCTCCTACGCCCCGCGCCGGGGAGAATTCTGCATTGCCAAATTTGTGGATGGAGAATGGTAAGCCACTCGGGCCCAAGCAGGGCAGCAGGAGCCGGGGCCGGTCTGTCCTCAGGCCACCGGCTAGACCAGGCATTTGCCTCTGCAGCCTGGTGTCCACTGGGGTGTTGTTGACCTTGGCCGCCTCCCCAGGGTAGCCCTCTATATTGCCCAGAGCCCATGTGGGCCTTGATTCTCCTGCAGTCCAGCCAGCCTCCGGACTACAGAAGTGTGCTCCTCTCTCCCCTCACTCTGTTGGGGGAGTCCTGCCTGCCTGGGTCTCGAACACACCCGTCACCCCATTCAGGAAAAGTGATGTCTCAGTGAGCCCAGGCCAGCCACCCCGCCTCCACCCCAACTGTCTGGGACATGAGCAGCAGCAGCCTTGCCCACAGGCAGCAAGGTCACTTACGTCTGGTCTACCGAGGGCAGGGCCCATGGCCCTCCCAGGGTGACGAAGTGACTTGGATGTGTTCCCGCTGCGGCCTCCCAGACACTTCTGCCGGCTAATTACAGCTGCTGTTTAGTGTGCCGAGCTTCAGCAGCAGACATCAATCTAGTCATTAGTCTTGTTGCTTTATGCCCCAAGGACACATTAATCTGCTTCACATGCTGCCCTCTCCCTCCCTCTGCTCCCAGCTATGCTCTGATTCCATTAAATGGTGACCACAGTGTCCCCATGGAGTCTGAGCCCTGTCCTCTGTGACACCCACGGGTGTGCTCTCCGACCCCTGGCCAGGGAAGTGCTATGTCCGCTCCCCTGCCATCACTGAGGCTCCAGGGAGATTGACTCCTCGGGGCTGTCCCCTGAGCTCTGCCCATGATGCCATTGCAGGTACCGGGCCCGAGTCGAGAAAGTCGAGTCTCCTGCCAAAGTGCACGTCTTCTACATTGACTACGGCAACGTGAGTGGGGGGCCGGGAGCTGGACAAGAGGGGGGCTCCAAGTGGCTGCCAGGGCCATTCAACACAGTAGCCCCTATGTCAGGGCCATCTACTGTTGGTGTGACAAGCCATGACCCCTGAGTGACCAGGCAAAACTGGCATCTCTGGCAGAGGCCTGTGTGCACCCATAGGTCTCTGAGTGCCCAGCCATGCCCACGCTTCCTCTTCTGCCCTGCCTCCGAAGAGAGGGCCCAGGAAGGCCCTCCACACTCAATTCCTGGTCCGCATGCTCAACATGGTGCTTGTCCCCATCTGCTAACGTCCAGCACATCCCCAAACCGAGGTTTGCTGGGAGGGACACTCCTGAGGTGGCAGAGTGCCTGGGAGAGCGCTGTAGCTCAGAGTGTGTGGTTCCTGAGCTGTGGCTGTGGCTGCCCACTTTCCTCAAGGACTAGAGGTGAGAGTCAGTTAGCAGAAAGCCCAGAACTGGGCCATACACCCAATTTACTACCTGGGAATCCACCAGAGGAGAGGTCCTCCCAGGCTTGGCCAGCACCATGGGCAGCCAGGACGCTGCCGGACCCTCATATTGGTGAGCTCTCCCAGCCAGAGCGCCCCTGGTGTGGAAGAGGGAAGGCATTGGAAAGAAAGAAAAACTGCGACTAGAGTCCAGTTATCAAATTACATTAGTGGGAACCAACAGGTGTGCCCACACCAGGCCCAGAGTTAACAGCGTGTGAGCCACAGCAGCCCACTGCAGGTGCCAGCAGGCCATGCTCTCCCAAGGCCTCACTGCAGTGGCTCAGCGGGCAGTCTCTCCGTTAGAGCCGTGGCTAGCAGACAGTCCCTCCATCAGAGCGCCCAGAGGCCTGGCCATAGGAGTTGTCTTTTCGGAACAAGGGGTCATCAAATGTGTGATGCTATTGGCCTGGTGTGCCCTCTGCAGAGAGAGATCCTGCCGTCCACCCGCCTGGGTACCCTGCCACCTGCCTTCAGCACTCGTGTGCTGCCAGCTCAAGCCACGGAGTATGCCTTCGCCTTCATCCAGGTGCCCCAAGATGTGAGTCGATGCATCTTCTCTCCTTCTGAAAGGGACTGTCCAGTGACACTCAGCCACCCCTGCGGCCCTTACAGGCTGACAGGAGTGGGAACAATGGGTGGTCTCTTAGTAACAGGACTCAAAACATGGGAGTGACTGAGCAAGTTGAGGGAAGGTGCCAGAGGTGGTGGCATCAGAGCACTTGAGCTAGTCCGTAGGAATGAGTAGGCCCATGGCCAGGTGCACGGGGGCAAAGACTAGTCCACCACAGCCGGGCCCTCAGGGCTTGCGGGCAGTGTCAGGAAATGAAAAGGGAAAAGCAGGTCAGGGCCTGGGGATCCAGTTTATTCTGTGTATTATGGGCAGGAGGGGTGTGGCAGGATTGTCAGCAGAAGTGTGATATGGTCAAGTCTGGTTTTGAAAGTTGCTTCTAGAACAGGGAAGGAGACTGGAAGGAGTTGTTGGGACACAACTGCATTGAAAATCCAGGCAGGGGACAATGGTGACCAAACCAGGGCCATGTGAGTGGGGCTGGGGAGAAAGGCCAGGTCTCCGAGCACCATCAGAGCAGGTGGGGGCGCGGGAGGGGCAGAGGGTAAGACGGGTTTTACATGTGCGTCTGTTGCTGCTGGCCAAGATAAGGGAGGTGAGAAGGGGCAAATTAGAGGCTGTGGGAGCTCCAGGCGGCCTTCTAGTGTTCAGTGTGGAAATGGAAAGCGAGATGAGCCTCAGTCGAGGATTTGAGTTTAAACCTGGGGGTGTACAGCGTGGTCTGTAGACATGGGATGGGAGGGGACAGCCTGCGTCCCCACAGCCTAAGGAAGAGCCTGAGGTGACTGTGCCCCCTGAGAGGAAGACTGTGCTCAGGGCTGCAGGCGCACCACTCCAGCTGCAGTTCCAGCGCCCCAGGGAGGCCGGGCAGGCGGAGGACGGGCCGTGGCCTCAGCCTCCAGGAGTCCCTGGGGCTCAGAGTGAGGGGCATCTGAACGCATGATTGGAGCAGGTCCCTGGGGCTCAGAGAGAGAGCGACGGAAAGGCATGATTGGAGCGGCCGCCAGATGCAGGCTGCTGAGGGGCAGATGTAGGGTAGGAGTCAGCACCATAGAAGATTTTCTGCCTTTTTACAAAATGACTGCAGGGCTGAGGAGAAACAGCAGGAAAAGGCGTTGACAGAGTAGATCCAGGGCAGTCAGTCTGTGGTGATGAGGAGGCCTGAGCGTGGAGAGACCCTGAGATGACAGTGAAGGCAGAGAGGTGGGGGCTGGGAGTCACTGCCGAAGCAAGGCCAGCCAAGGTGGGGGTGGTCGGGCCCGGGCAGCAGGTGCAGGCTCGTGTGCCATGTGGAAAAGCCTCGTGTCCTCAGAGACACGGCAGGTGGGGGGAGGGGGGGGGAGAAGGACGGGATGACATGCAGATAGGCTTGGAGGGGTGGGGGCGGAGGGACAAAAGGAGAGGGGACACTTCCTGTCCAGAGCCTGCCTCCTCCCTCGGTAGGATCTGAGTGGGCAGGGAGCTGCAGGCGCCCGCCGGGTGACTTTTTTGGAGGTCCAGGACCAGGACCTGGGGTTCAGGTGGCCAGCTTTTGCTCAGGCTCCCCTCTCCCCCGACCCTGGGTGTTTCTGCTCCAGGAGGATGCTCGAACAGACGCCGTGGACAGCGTGGTGCGGGACATCCAGAATACCCAGTGCCTGCTCAACGTGGAGCACCTGAGCGCCAGCTGCCCCCACGTCACCCTGCAGTTTGCAGACTCCAAGGGGGACGTGGGGCTGGGCTTGGTGAAGGAGGGACTGGTCATGGTGGAGGTGCGCAAGGAGAAGCAGTTCCAGAAAGTGGTATGTGACGCGGAGGTGGGCACCACTGCGGGGGCAGGCCCCTGGTGTCTCCAACTGTCGTCACAGAGGGGACCGGGGACTGCGCCAAGAGCCAGGGAGGGAGCAGGAGCCCACCATCCTGCTGTTCCTGCTGGGGAGAGATAATGGATTTCGGTTTGTTGGGGTTTAAAAAAAAAAGCTAATTACATCCCAAATTAATTGGCTGCAGGTTTGGCTGAGAATGCAGCTGCAAACTAGAGCGGAAAGTTCCCTGTGCATGTACCCCCAGGACAGGCCGGAAAGCTTTGCCGGAGGTGGCATGGAAAGGGTCAAAGCCTGCCTTGCTTTCTCACCCCCTCTCACTTCCTTTTCTCCAACATACAACTTCCAAGGCCACCACCAGCTCCTGGCGCTCAGTGCTGCCAGGGCCAGGCGGCAGTGCCAAGGGGTCCGAGGGGCCTCTGCCACAACACCCCTCCAGCCTGTTGGCAAAGCCCCCAGGGCCTGGAGCCGGCCTGAGTCTCCCTTTCGTGAGATGAGAGCTTGCTGCTCCCCAGGCTGGGCCGTGAGGATGGGGCTGACACGTGGGGAACCGGCTTACACTGTTCAGGTGTCGATCATTACGATCTTGTTCAGCGGACTAGCGGCCCCTTCCACTGAGGACCCTGCTCATCGGAGTCCTCCCAGCCTCTCACTAAGCCATAGCTGAGATCCCAGGACATACCAGCCTCGAGGGATGGGCTGGGGCCAGCCTTGCCCTCCCACACTCCCTCCGAGAGGAAGGGTGAGGGTGGCAGGGTTGAAACCTGTGTTCTGTCTTGTGGCCCTTGCTTTCCCAACTCCCAGCCCCTCTGCCTTCCCCTCTCCCCGCGTAGTGTGGCAGCGGTGTGTGGTTCCCTGGACTGCTTATGCGAGTGAAAAGTCATTTGGAGAAAGACCTGTGTGAATTGCTCCTTTGTCTCCTCTGGACAGGAGAGGCCTGGTTCTAGTCCTCCCCCTGGGAACCCCCAGTGTCCTGAGATTGCTCCGAGGCGTCAGCTTAAGTTTTCCTGTAGAACCAGAGACCTTAGTGTCGCCCATGCGAAGCTACCCGCATGTCTCTGGTGTCTAGAAAATTCCTTTGCCCTGAGATAAACACCTAACGCGCTCATTGATTCATCTAGTCATTCTTTCAGCAAACATTTATTGAGGGCCTGCATATCTCAGTGAACAAGAGACAATATCCCTCCCCTGTGGAGCCTCGTTCAAGCATGAGGAGATGAGCAATAAAAATAGATACAATAAGTCAGTGAAATAGAATGTTAGAAGATACATACAATGGAAAAGGAGAAAATACAAATAAAGGGCAAATACAGTATGATCTCGCTTACATGTGGAATCTAATGAACAAAATGGAACCAGAGGCATGGGCACGTGGAACAGACTGACAGCTGTCAGAGCGGAGGGGAGGGCATTTGGGGTACTGGATGAAAGAAGGTGAAGGGATTAAGCAGAAATCCATCACAGGTACTAGTACACACACACACACACACATATATATATATCACGTAGCACAGACAACAGTGTGCTGATAGCCAGAGGGAAAGGTGGGGCTAGATGGAGGTGGGCAAAGTGGGGGCAATGGGGATGGGAAGAGACTTTGCTTTGGGCAGTGGTGCAGCGTGTAGATTATGTTTGGTTGTGTTGTACGCTTGAACGTGTATAGTTTTGTGAACCAATGTCACCTCAATAAATTCAACTAAAAAATAATAAAAGCCATCCCTTTAAAAAGAAAATAAGATAAAAGGTTCTCATTTTAAAGTAAAGAGAATCAGGAGTGTGTGGGAGCGGCTGGTTATAATTTATTTTAACTATGTTTATTGATTTCAGAGAGGAAGGGAGAGGGAGAGAGAGATAGAAACATCAATGAGAGAGAATTCTTTTTTTTATACATATATTTTATTGATTTTTTACAGAGAGGAAGGGAGAGGGATAGAGAGTTAGAAACATCGATAAGAGAGAAACATCGATCAGCTGCCTCCTGCACACCCCCTACTGGGGATGTGCCTGCAACCAAGGTACATGCCCTTGACTGGAATCGAACCTGGGACCCTTTAGTCTGCAGGGCGATGCTCTATCCACTGAGCCAAACCAGTTAGGGCTGAGAGAGAATTCTTGATTGGCTGCCTCCTGCACACACCCTATCCAGCCCACAACCCAGGCATGTGCCCTGACGGGAAATCAAACCATGACCTCCTGGTTCATAGGTCGACACTCAGCCACTGAACCACACTGGCTGGACTGGTTATAATTTTAAATGGGGTCATTGGAGGCCTCAAGAAGGTGATACTTTTTTTTAAAATTTTTATTGCTGAAAGTATTACAGATGTCCCCTTTTTTTCCCCCATTCTCCCCCCCGCCCGCTCCCCATTAATCTCTTCTAGCCCACCCCCACCACCCACCCAGGCCTTCACCACCCTATTGTCTGTGTCCATGGGTCATGCATATGTGCATACTAGTTCTTTGGTTGATCACTTCCCACCCAGCTACTTTCCCCTCCTAAGAAGGCAGTACTTTTATCAGACTTGAAAGGGCAGGATAGTAGCCAGGTGGGCCGGAGGGGGAGCTTCGGGCAGATGGGACAGCCAGTGTGGAGCTGGGAGACAGCTGGCATGCACGTTGGCTTTTACTCTGAGGGAGCTAGGGATCCACTGGGCAGGGGGTGACGTGGCCCTGACCTGGGTGTCCGACGGTCACTCTGGCTGCCCAGTTGTGAATGCCCTCATCTTGACCCCTCCCTTTCTCGCTCCCTCCAGATCACAGAATACCTGAACGCCCAGGAGTCAGCCAAGAGCGCCAGGGTGAGTTTTCCCCTCCGGAGCTCCGGGGGTGCTGAGAGAGGGGGCTTGACCACCCGGGGTTCCAGCAGACCCCACCTCCCTGACGAGCCATTTTCTGTTCTCACAGTTGAACCTGTGGCGCTACGGAGACTTCCGAGCCGATGACGCAGATGAGTTTGGCTACAGCCGCTAAGCAGGGAATCGGGTCCGGCCCCAGCACCCCTCACACAGTACCTCTTCCTCTGCCAGGAGGGTGTTTCCGCTCCAGACCCAGATCGGGGCGTAGAGTGGGTCCAGCTTTGCTTCAGTGTGTGGAAATGCCTTGCAGGGCAGCATCTGGGCTGGGGGTGGGGTGCAGGGAGCCTGAGGCTCTCAGGAGCCTGTCTTCTGAGATGATGGGCGCTGCTGTCCAGTCTCTCCCAGCTGATTTCCTGTTTTTATTTGGATGGGGGGGTTGTGGTTTTTTAAAAATTGTCCTCAAATCAGGAAGAAACATGAAAGACTTCATGCTAATGGGGGTGTGATCCTGGCACTGGAGGCCTGCTGCCAGAGAGCACCCCACTTCTATCCCAGACTGCCTTTCTTCCCAGCTCTGTCCAGCTGTTGATCATGTGATTTCTCTGATATGTCCATTCTCAAATGCCAGCGCGCCTCTCCTTTTCTGTATTTAAAGCTTTTGAGGCCCAATAAAATAGTACATGCTGTCTGCAGCCCTTGTTGGTCATGGTGGAGCCCAGAGCCAGGAGACTGGGCACTGGTGGCTCCCAGGTGGTCACCACATGCCTAGCCACACTCCCAGGAACCTCGCCAGCTCTCTAGGGGCCAAGACGTCAGCAGGAGAGTAGATGACGTGTCTCCTCGCTCCTGGGGATGCTGCCTGTCCCAACAGGCAAGCCCGCTCTCGCCAGGGTCTCCCTTTGTTTTCACTCATCGTGGAGGCTGGGCGTGGAGAGGAGCATGCCTGTCAGTGGGAGCTGGGCAGTCCCCCCGAGTTCCGAGCAGCCCCCAGGGTGTGGTGGGCATCACCTGGCACCTCGGCCACGCGCAGAAGGCTGCAGATCTTCTCCTTTGACTCATCAGTCTGGACACTGCACGGGGCTGCCCTCAAGGACCTTAGAGATTGGAGCAGCTCGGCAAGCCGTGCCCAGGACTTTCCACAGAGGACAGGCCAGGCTCAGTCCTGCCAGGGACCCGCCAGGGCCAGAAGGGACTCACTGAGGGCCGTGAGGCGACTTTCCTCTTCCCTGGCAGCAGGAGGCATAGCTAACACCAGACAGGCTGGCATGGCATGGGCAAGATCGGGGCCCTGGTCCCTGCTCAGCTCCCTCCGCCGTCCGTTCTTTGGAGATGGAGCTGAAGGTCAGTGTGCTCCAGAGGCCGTGGCCAAGGAGTGCCTGTCCCCAGGTGATTATCTCTTGCTCCGTTTGACTCGACCGTGTCCCCCATTGTCAAGGTAGAGTTGGCCGTGCAGTTCAGAAACGACAGGGACTGCTAGCCCCCAGGGGAGCAGAGCAACCGAGGGCAGCCACTGTGGTGTAGTGAGGGGCCTGCCAGGGAGAGGAAGCAGGTGTGTGTGTGTGTGTGTGTGTGTGTGTGTGTGTGACGGGTGGTCACCACTCTGCCGTCCACAGTGTCCAGGGATCTGCCTGTCCTCCCTACCCTCACCCCTGACCTCATCGTGTGGCCTGCCCTTCCCAGGCCTGTACTCTGGTGAGACGTGCTGGCGCTGCTTCCTGGCAGCCCACTTGCCGCCCCACCTTCTGATCTGGGTGAGATGCCAGCTGCCATGGAAATTGATCCTTGGTCTTGGGGAAAGTCAGTGTAGGTGGTGAGGCCTGGCTAGCCGTCTCTCATTTTTATTTTCATTTTCTAAAATACTATTTTATTGACTTTTTTAGAACAAGAGGAAGGGTGGGGGATAGAAAGATAGAAACATCAATGAGAGAGAAACATCATTGATCGGCTGCCTCCTGCACACCCCCTGCTGAAGATCGAGCCAGCAACCCCGGGCATGTGCCCTCATTGGAAATCGAACTTGTGACCTCGTGGTTCCTAGGTCAATCGGTGCTCAACCACTGAACCACACTGGCTGGGCAGCCGCCTCTCATTTTTTTTTTTTTAATATTTTATTGATTTCAGAGGGGAAGAGAGAGAGAGAGAGAAACATCAACCATGAGAGAGAATCATTGATTGGCTACCTCCTGCACGCCCCACACTGGGAATCGAGCCCGCAACCTGGGCATGTGCCCTAACCCGGGAATCGAACCCTGACCTCCTAGGTCATAGGTTAACGCTCAACCACTGAGCCATGCCAGCTGGGCCGCCTCTCATTTTTATACCAGAGATCCTGGGCCCCTGAAAATTCTGGCTCCTGGCAGTTCTGCCCCTACATCCACTTATTCAGGCTCAGGGTTCACCTGGAGTGTCCCTAGGACTCCTGTTTTAGGCAAAAAAAAAAAACACACACACACCAACAAATTTAATGTATGTTTCCAGTACTTGGGATGCACTCTAGTTAAAAGGGAGCAGCAAGAGTGAGGAGGACCGAGCGGGGAGGGGAGAGGTGTTGAGTCAGCGCAGACTTGATGTTTCTGTCTGCAGCCCCTGTGGGTGGGTCATAACAAGGGCTATGCTCCTTGTGGGGCCCAAGAAGTCAGCTAGGTGATGAATTGTGCAGCTCTCCATCTGTCCCCACTCCTGGAGACGCTGTCCTGCCCCAGCAGCAAGCCGCCTCTCGCCATGGTCTCCCACTTTATTTTTAGGCATCATGGAGAAGAGAATGCCCATCTCGCCCATTTCTCTACCTCCTGGTGGGGCCACACAGTGTGCATTCACTTGAGCACAATTTTCGGGGGGCAAGATGCCAACCCACTCTTTTGTGAAAGGGTCTGAAATCATCTCACCATCTTAACAGTTGCCTTGGTTACAACTGCACCAAAATAAACCCTCTGGTTCTCCAATTGAATGATGCCTGAACCTCCCCGCTCCTTACTGCCTTTCTTTTCTCAGGCTGATTCAGACAAAGGTCGGGGGGCGCTGCTGCCGCTGGTCTGGTTTTGGCCCCAGCCCCGTGTGCCTCTCTTGGCCACATCTGTTGCGTTCCTAGGTCCGTCCTGGGCAGGGCTGGGACTGGGGTGAGGCAAGCCAAACCCCCAAGGTGCAGGACTTAAGGAGGCACTCCGAGGGCAGGTGCATCCATAGTTGAAGCTCGTTAGCATCAGCACCTGGCCACGTAGCACCCAAAACCTCTCCGGAGGTCCTTCCCCAGCAGGGATTGCTCCTCGGTGTCAGGACTCCACTCCCCCATCCTCCTTCCCAGTTGAACAACAAAATCTCTTTGAACACAACTTACTTATCCGTCTATCCAGCCACCAGCACAGTGTTGGGTTCAGTGAGTGCCAAGGTCATGTCCAGTCTAGGTGTGGAGGAGGCAGCAGATGCCAACACATTTAGAACAAGCCGCGGCCGTGCGCAGTGCACCCAGACGGGCTGAGGCCCTGGCCGGCGGCTGGGGAGGCGGCCCAGGAGGAGGGCGGAGGAGGGCTAACAGATGGCCGGAAGCAGCGCTGCTGGTCTGTGAAGGCTCTGGGACTTCTGGTCTCTGCAGGCTGACGCCGCAGAGCCACCAGGGAAGTGCTGAGAGCGAGAGCCCTCCCTGGTGGCCCTGCTCACCCTCCTCCCTGCCGGTGAGCAGTAGGGAAGGGCTGGCGTAGCTGCCTCCGCTTTATTTATTGGTTTGATTATTTCCACGTCCCAGGGAGCCAGTGGACCCTTTTCTTGCATCAGCCCATGCTGGGAAATAACGGAGGGACTGGAGAACTGGGGCCTCAAGAGTGGTTATTGATGTCATAATTACAAGAGGATGCTAATTTAATTTGAACCTAATTACAGTGCACTACCCTGGGTGGCATGTGTTTTAATAATTAACGTCCTTCAGATGCGTGGGAGGTAATAATATTTACGCTGGGCTGGCCAGCAGCCTGGGGAGGCTGGCGGGGGGCCAGAGCCCACCCTCCCCGGACAGCTTGGCTGCCGGCAGGTGGAGAAGATGGCACTCAAGTCCTAGTTGGCTAGTGTCTCGTCACCCTTCCCAGGGGACACGCTTGGGCCTCGTTTCCCGCCACTGCCCTGACCCAGCAGGCCACTGCGCTCTGTGGGGCGCCAGGCCGGAACCCTGAAATACATGGTGACCTGCAGGGTAGGGGTCTGGGCAGCACCCCTCCCCCACCCCACTGCGGGCCACAGAGACCAGGCCCAGTTGTGGCTTCGCCTGTCTGCCTGGGCCCATCCTAAGGGAGGGCTTGTTTCCCGGGAGGCAGGAAAGGTGCTGGTGTTCCTTGTGTTTGTTGGGAGCACTCGTAAGGAAAAGTACCTTCAGGAAAGTGTACAAAGTGAACACACCGGTGCAGCGTAGCTACTCAGAGCACAGAGAGCATCACCAGGCCATCACCTCCAAAGGTAACCCCCTCCATCCCAGGAGATGAGTTTGGCCGGTTTGTTGCATTTTTGTGGTGTTTTTGTGTTCCAGTTTTGCCTGGTTTTAAATTTGGCGCAGGTGGAGTCTGCATGTGTATTTTGTGCCTGCCTTCTCTCACTCCCCGTCTGTGAGCTCGTCCTTGTTACATTAGCTGTAGTGTGTGCGTTCTCGTTTCTGTATGTGCTGTTGTCTGCATACACCTCTCCTTGGCGGTTATAAAGAAGTCAGATGCTCAGCTATCTGCTTGAGCCAGTCCCTAAAGGACAAATCTGCTCATCCTAACTATCCACCTGGGGCACGGAGGTGACACTTTGTGAGAAGAGATAACACGATGACAGGGCAGGGCAGTTTCACCCACCGCAAACCCAGAACACGTGGTGGCCAGCTTGGCTCCCATGCCCAGCCTTTCCGAGCTCCCAGAGGTGGGAAAAGGCTCCAGACGCCAAACAAGAGAACCATGGGCTTAAGAGATGGTCTGAGGGCCCTGACCAGTGTGGCTCCGTTGGAGCGTCGTCCTATACACCAGAAGGTGGCGGGTTCGATTCCCAGCCAGGGCACATACCCAGATTGTAGGTTCTAATCCCCATCCAGGAAGCAACCGATCAGTGTTTCTCTCTGTGTGGCTGGCCAACCAGCTACCTCAGAATCCCCTGGGGTTTGCATTAAAATGCAGCTTCTAGAAATAGTGCCAGGATTGTATGGGGGGTGGGGATGGGGGTGGGTTGAGTGAGCTAAACCCTCAGCTAGCATAGCAGGAAAGCAATGGATAATGTTTGAAGTTGATAAAATAAGAACTTATATTTAGCAATAAGGTAGTAACCACCTAAAACGTGATTAAAAGTGGTTGCCTATGGCCCAAATGGGGTGTGGAGTGCTTATTATAATTCCCTGTGTACGAATTAATTTTTTCACCATAGGCAAGCATTTCTGACTACCTTTTTATTATCGTGTAAATATGCATATATCGCTTCCCAGTCCAGGCTTCCTCTCTCAGTTCCTGTGGGCCAGCACCTGGGACTTGCACTTTTAAGCTTCCTAAGTGATTCTGATGAGTTCTCTAGTGGGAGGATTAGCTATCACTGTCCAAGCTCATTGTACAAGATGAGGAAGGAGACAGAGTGACTTGCCCAAGGTCACCCAGCTTATTAACGGCAGGGCCAGTAATAGAAAACAGGTCCCCTGCCCCAGGTCTGTGAGCTTTGTCTACGTCAGCTGTGGGCAAACTACGGCCCG